CCACATTCTAAATTTGGGAAATTTTATCCACAGAGGAAGGAGAGGGCCTTCTCCCCAAACCCAGGCATATTTGCAAGTTTGCAATCTCAGATGTGGATAAAAGTCTCCAAACTTGTGTGTGCGTGCGTTTGTGCATGTGCACAAACACACCAAATGAGACATTCTTCTTCCAATTCCAGACATCAATGTCATTTCCTTGTGCAATGTCATCTCCCAAAAAAGCAGGAGATGGAGGATGACACTGCTGCTGTGCTTACTCTCCTTGGCCAGGTTGTTCATGGTGAGTTCAGGAGACGAAAGTGCATGGGTCAGAGAAAGGCCCACTCCCAATCCATGCAAAGATAGTTGACTTTTTAAGCAAAGCACCCTTAATAATAGGATGGGAGACCACCAGGAGAGGTCAGGAGGAGGGGATGGCAAAAGGGCAGCAGGGCTGCTGGTGGCCAAGTGCTAAGACAGGACTTCCCTCAAACCCTCCCTCCCTCTCATTCCACTCTCATTCCACTCTCCCTCCTTCCTTCCTCCTTTCCTTCCTTCCTTCCTTCCTTCTTTCCTCCCTCCCTCCCTCCACTCCCAGGAATGAATAAGGGGAGATAGAGGGAGGGCAGCGGTGCCGGTTGCTATGGCTTTCCCATGCAGGGGTGGGAGGCAGGATGGGGGCCATCCTGGTAAAAGGAAAGTGATTGTGGGCTGCAGGGCCCTGGAGGTGCTGGTGACAGGTGCAGTGCTGCTGCTGGGGCTCTAGGCACTGATCTACAACAACTTTGTGACAGCTACTAGGGCTGGAAGGCTGATCACATTCTGGCCTGGGTGGCTGCCATGAAGTTGTTGTAGATCAGCATCTAGAGCCCCAGGAGCAGTGCCACACCTACCACAACACCTCAGTGGCCCAACAGCCCATGAGCGCTTCCCTTTCACTGGGCATATCAGCCCCTGCACGCTTGCCTCCTCCTATGCATGCACCTGGGGGAACACCTAGTCAAGTTGTGGTGGGCTGGGTCTGAGGCAGTGGGATCTGACCCACATGGCTTGAGTTTGACATGTCTGCTATAGGACATTGCACACCAAAGCAATCAGACACAAAGGCAATTTTTCTTCCATGTTATCACTCTGTTAAATAATTAATTCCCATAACACTGACTATGCCCTAGGATGTCAAACCACCTAATATGGCTATGTTACTTATTATCCTTCTCATCTGTCCTATTACTTATTTCCATAAATTTTTATGACTATAACTTGTTGTTATACTCATGATTTATGTTGATTGCTTTCGTATCCTATGACTATCACTGAGTGTTGTATCTATGATTTATGATGATTGTAATTTATGATTCTGATTATCACTTGTTGCTTGTGTGTACACTGAGAACATATGCACCAGAGACAAATTCCCTGTGTGTATCCAATCATGCTTGGCCAATAAAGAATCTTATATCTTCTTCTCTGTGCTCAAAAGATATGTTGCTAAAGCACTCAGAAGTAATAAGACTATTATTATTATTATTATTATTATTATTATTATTATTATTATTATTATTTTAATTTATATACAGCCCTACTCCCGAAGGACTCAGGGCAGTGAACAGCCAAACAGTAAAAATACATAGATACAAAATTTAAAAACAAAGTAAAATCAAATTAAACAATTTGGCTCAAACAAATTAAAACCCCATGAGTTGCAATGGCTTCACGCAGAACTAGTTCTAAGTTTCTAAGTAATCTTCAGTGAATGTATCATTCATTGAACAGTCATGGAACTATATTCCATCTTTCTTGCCTCTCATTAACTGTTTTTTAGTATTCAGATCAGGTCTTAATAGAATAACAAAGCATTTGGGGAAAAAGATGCAGCCCAGTAACCCTGCACTGGAAGACAGAATAGAAAAGATCTCCACAGCCACCATGTATTTCCCCTTGGTACTCAAATATGTTGGAATAAATGATAACCAGACACTGCAAAAACACAAAAGGCTGAAGAAGATAAACTTGGTCTCATTAAAACTGTCTGGTAAATGCCGGGCTTGGAAAGCCACACAGAAACCAACAATGGCAAGGAAAAGCAGGTAGAACAAGACACAGTAAAACATGAGTGTAGAGCCTTCATTACATCCCAGGATGATTTCATCTGCCACTAAGTTCATATCAGCATCTGGGTATGGCGGTGAGGTTACAAGCCATACATTGCAAACAATGACTTGAATGAGGGAACAAGAAAGAACCATGTAATTATCTAATGGTTTTCCCAGCCATTGCCTCATCTGTGAACCTGGCACTGAAGCCATGAAAACTAAAATCACATTGATGGTTTTGGCTAATATACAAGAAATGGCAACTGAGAAGACAATCCCAAAAGCAGTTTGTCTCAAAAGACAGGTTACTTTTTCAGGTTTTTCCAATGAACAATAAACTGCAAAGGAATGAGAGCACAAGGGAGATGAGGAGAAGGTAGGTGATGTTCCGGTTGTTGGCCTTGACTATGGGAGTGTCCTGGTATTTGATGAAGATCCCAAGCACCATAGTGGCAATGCAAGCAAAGACAATTGCAGTAGTGGCCAAACTGGTCCCTAATGGGTCTTCATAAGAGAGAAAAACTACCAGTTTTGGAAGGCATGAATCATGGTTGTTATTTGGATACTGTCCTTCTGGGCATGACAAACAATCATCCATATCTGTAGAAATGAATGATGAACACATGAATTAACACATTCTTATTATTACAATGTAGAAAATACTCTATTATCATTTTCAAAATAACAGAAAAGAAGATTCTGGGGGATGAAAGTTAGTGGAAGAAATTCAACTCAAAGATTCACTGCTGGCACAGTGGTTAGAATATAGTATTGCAGCTAATTCTGCAAACTCAAGCAGTTCGATTCCCACTGGCTCAAGATTGACTCAGCCTTCCCTCCTTTAGAGGTCGGTAAAATGAGGACCCAGATTGTTGGGAGCAATATGATGATTCTTTAAACTGCTTAGAGGGAACTGTAAAGCATTATGAAGTGGTATATACAATAAGTGCTAAATGCTAAAAGAGTTCATTTAAGTGTAAAACAGTAGAGACCTTCAAATTTCTAGGTTCTATCATATCTCAAGACCTAAAATGGACACCTAACATCAAAAACGTCATAAAAAAAGCACACCAAAAATGTTCTTTCTGCGCCAACTCAGGGAGCTCAAACTGCCCAAGGAGCTGCTGATACAGTTCTACAGAGGAATTATTGAGTTTGTCATCTGCACCTCTATAACTATCTGGTTTGGTTCTGCAACCCAACAAGACAGACACAGACTTCAGAGGATAATTAGAACTGCAGAAAAAACAATTAGTATCAACCTGCCTTCCATTAAGGGCCTGTATACTGTACAAGTCAAAAAGTGGGCTGTGAAACTATTTACAGACCCCTCACATCCTGGACATAAATTGTTTCAACTCCTACCCTCAAAATGACTCTATAGAGAACTGCACACAAAGACAACTAAACACAAGAACAGTTTTTTCCCCAAATGCCATTAGTCTGCTAAACAAGTAATTCCCTCAACACTGTCAAACTATTCAGTAAGACTCCATTACTATTACTATTAGTCTTCTCATCGTTCCTATCACTCATCTCCTCCTACTTATGACTGTATAACTTTGTTGCTTGTACCCTTTTATTTTATATTTATATTGATTGTTTCCTGATTGCTTACTTGTACCCTATGACTATCATTATTGTACCTTATAATTCTTGACTAAGGTAGATTCTTGATGAATGTATCTTGTCTTTTTTATGTACAATGAGAGCATATCCACCAAAGACAAATTCCTTGTATGTCCAATCACACTTGGCCAATAAAATTTATTCTATTCTATTCTATTCTATTCTATTCTATTCTATTCTATTCTATTCTATTCTATTCTATTCTATTCTATTCTTTAGTTACAGAACTAATCTGTAAATAGAGGAGATGCATATTTATGACAATGCATGTGATTGGATAGAGAAGAAGAGTTTTTCATTCGATAGAGAAGAACATCAGGCCTCTATTGAGGAAGTTAGGGTAGAACCACAAAGGCAATGCTGGTTTTTAGAGAACAAGTTGACAGTAATTAGTAAATTTAATATCTTTATAGATGTACTGTTTAACTTCCTTTAGGTTGGAGAGTCTATGCCTTCCTCTTGGTATTTGTCTGATTTTTAATCAGCATTAATTGGCTAGGTGCCTGAAGGCTGAGATGACAAGGTTCATTGTTCCTGGGAAGCTAATTAGGGAGGAGATAAAATATTTTCCTTCGTTTTACTCATCCCAACATCCTTAAATTATCTCCGACAGCACATAATGTGTACAGTGGTACTTAAATACTGAATTTATTCTAACAGGTTTTCATGGAAAGGTTAATATTTATAAACTGAAGAAACCTTACCTTTCTGACTTGTAATCATCCCTTCTGGACATTTATGACACTGAAGTTTCCTTTAGATTTCTGATAAAATATGGCTATTGGATGTTTTGTATTTGCTTAAGAACCACATGACTTGCTTTATTATTGCATCAACATGCTTTACTTCCATTGTAAAATTGTAATTAAATCAAATCTGGTTGTGTGGTGCTTTTCCTTAGGATTACAAGGATTTACTACCAATTTATTCCAGACCCAATTGTGATAGTAAGTCAAGAACAAACTGTATTTGGAATGTGGATTAAATTATCCTCAAATATATGCAAAATATTGCAAATATCTGGTTAAATTTTCCAGTCTATACAGTGGGGTCCTTTAGAATGTTGACCAGTTTTGGTGAGAAAGAAGCAAGCAGCATAACTCCCTTCTTCTGAATTTATTCAGAAGGTGTCAAGATACTATCATCTAATTGCACACTGAACTATGTAGCATCTCCCAATTCACAATGCAAGTACAATACCTGGATAATTGTACACTACTTCAGTAGAAGAAAAAGGTCCCATTTTTGTATATTCAGAATGTAGATTAAACCATTCCCAAATCTGTGCAAAATATGTACCTGGTTAAACCTTATAGGCCATACAACGGAGTCTTCATGAATGTTGAGTGAAGAGGAAGAGTTGGGTTCTATCCATCCAACTTTGACTTTTGTAAATGTGTTATTTGCACAGGTGACCCAGTTGAAAATATCAAATCCAGTGATTATATGCCCTTTGTCATCAAAGGAAATATTTTCTCCAGCACTGTTTATAAAGGATGCACTTCTTATAAACTTGTGGAGCTAAATTGGAGAGAGAGAAAATTATTCCAGGAGAACCTTCAGGACAATCCTAACACACTTTAAAACTAAGATGAATGATTTTGAGGGAGGAAATCTACTGAAGAAGGAAAAAGAGAAGGAGAAATCGTTGAAGTCAGTTGCCTAGGCAGAGTAGTGACACCAACAGAAATGTTTTGAAGATATATTTGGGAGATTAATTAGTTTTAATGTACTAAAAACTGTTCTGTTCAAGTGTGCTGTCTTTCCCTCTTCCTTAGAGTTTAAAACATGTAACCAAATTCAGCTATTTCCCATCCAGTTTGGGCAATGGAAACTTTACAATTCAAAACTAATAATATATTGATAGAGAATGTTTATCATATGTTAACAGAAAGACATAGGATCCTCAGCTGTGCACATGTCTGGTGGTGAAAGGAAAGTCCTATGCTGTAAAGAACAATATTGCATAGGAATCTGCAATATAAGATTTATGAATCAAGATAAGCTGGATGTGGTCAAACATGAGATAGCAAAATTGAATGTCAACATCTTGAGAATCAGGGGTCTCCAACCTTGGCAACTTTCCGACCTGTGGACTTTAACTCCCAGCACATGCTGGCTGAGGAATTCTGGGAGTTGAAGTCCTCAAGTCGTAAAGTTGCCTAGGTTGGAGACCCCTGATCTACACTATTTCCTTCCTGCTAGAGTAGGGGGGTGGACTAGAAAACTTCCAAGTTCTCTTCCAACTTTATTATTCTGTTTTTGTTCAACATTGCTTTGGAAGATACCTGCCAGGCTTTTACTTGTCTCATGTTTTTTATCTTTGCTCTTTCTTTTGACGTGGATGAAGTTGTTGCACACAAAGCATGTGCCATAATGTAAACTGCATTGTAGATGCTATAGCTGTGGCCAGACATGTTTGTGTCAAACAGGGTCAGAGGTAGACTTTCCAGTTTTTCCTCTCCAGTGCAAATGTGCACATCTCTCTTTTTTGGAATGGAATTTGGGAAATCACAATTAAATGCATTTTTCCAGAAGATACTGATAAAGCCGTCTTTATTTTCTGAAAGGGGGTTTCTTCTGTTCAGAAATTTCTGGAATCCCCGAGGGTAATTGTGTATGAACAGCAAATGAGAGTGCTCCATGGAAAAAACGGATGTCCCAATCTCTTTGAAGTCCAACAGATGCAAAATCCATCTCAGCAGTCATAATCAACACTCGGCTTTCCATCTTTACATCATAAAATTGCAAGAATTGGAAAGCTATTCGTAAGACACTAACAGTTTCTATTTCGCCTTGCACAATAACAGTATTGACAATACTTCCTGTGACAACACGTGAACTTGCAAACCATTCCATTCCACTTTCAGCAGTGTTACTGGAAAAAGATATTCTGGGTATTGTTTCTAAGAAGTCCACACAGACACCCTTCTCAGAATATAAGGGAAGGACATGCTGTATAAAGACATCTCCATTGTCATTATCATACACAATCACACCAATCCAGGTCCATTTGAAATGCAGTAGCAACTCAAGAATGCCCAAATAGTGGTGGATCACATTGGGAAACATCTGGTGAAAATAATCTTCTTTGGTTTTGTCATTTATTGTTGGAGAAGACCCATATAAGATCTTGGGGGAAAAATACATGGGGGGAAGAGGACAGAAAAAATCAAAATGTATCTTGTCATAGTAGTAGTAAGTAAGCTTTTATTGCGGTCAGATACCAAATTAAAATAGACAAAGAAAGGGAGCATATTTTACAAATATGGATAGATCATGGGACAGTACACCATCTACTGCCTCAAATACAATCTGTACTGTCAATACTAGTGATCCTCTGCTGTCGGGCTTACCCGTCTCTTTTCCCATTTTTTTCCAGCCACGACTGCAGCAAATTTTTTTGCCACTTTTAGAGTTATATTGGGGTCTGCGTCCTGGAGTAGGAAATAAAGGCTGAACATATCAGGTGAACCAGGAAATCTCTGGGAAATAGGAGAAATGAGTCTTGATCTTATATCCCGTATCTTGTCATATGTTCAGGAGAAAGACAAACTATTAGAACTCATTTCATTTTTTCTATTTCATATTTTTATCTTATATACTTTTCTGATCACTTAATATTTCTTATGACAAATCTCCAAAGCAATATATTTTGGATGCCACAGATATTTCAGGAAATATTATGTATTCTTAAGACATTTTGTTTTCGAACAGCATTGACTGCAATTTTATGTATAAATTTGGACTTTCCAGAGCTTTCCAAAGCAAATAGATCAACAGATAATGCTGTTAATATGGCTCTGCAGTACATCCTACAACATCTTGAATCTCCAAAGGCCTAGGCAAGAGTCCTCTTTGTAGACTTTAGTTCAGCATTCAACACCATCATTCCAGACATTCTTCTAACTAAGCTAAACCAGCTAGCGGTACCTGAACACACTTGTAAGTGGATCATAAGCTTCCTAACAGACAGGAAGTAGCAGGTGAAGCTAAGCAGAATCACATCAGATACCTGTACAATTAGCACACTCCTCCCCCTCAAGGCTATGTGCTCTCTCCACTTTTCTTCTCTCTATATACCAATGACTACATCACAAACAATCCATCTGTTAAACTACTTCACAGATGACACAACAGTGATCGGTCTCATTCGAGACAATGATGAATCTGCATACAGACAGGAGGTTGAACAACTAGCCTCATGGTGCAACCGGAACAATCTGTAACTGAACACACTCAAAACCGTAGAAATGGTGGTAGACTTTAAGAGAAACCCTACTACCACCTCTTACAATACTAGACAACACAATATCAACAGTAATTTCAAATTTCTAGATTCTCCATATCTCAAGATCTAAAACGGACACCTAACATCAAAAACATCATCAAAAAAGCACAACAAGAATGTTCTTTCTGCGCCAATTCAGAAAGGTCAAACTGCCCAAGGAGTTGCTGATATAGTTCTACAGAGGAATTATTGAGTCTGTCATCTGCACCTCTATAACTGTCTGGTTTGGTTCTGAACCCAGCAAGACAGACACAGACTTCAGAGGATAATTAGAACTGCAGAAAAAACAATTACCGCCAACCTGCCTTCCATTGAGGACGAGTTAAAAAGAGGTCTGTGTAAATATTTACAGGCCCCTCACATCCTGGACATAAACTGTTTCAATTCCTACCCTCAAAATGATGCTATAGAGCACTGCACACCAAAACAACTAGACACAAGAACAGTGTTTTCCTGAACACCATCACTCTGCTAAACAAATAATTCCCTCAACACTGTAAAACTATTTACTAAGTCTGCACTACTATTAATCTTCTCATCATTCCTATCACCAATCACCTCCCACTTATGACTGTATGACTGTAACCTTGTTGAACAAGTGGACTGAAGCAGCTCTGTGTGCTCTCCACTGGCTGTTTTTTTCCCCTTCGCTAGTGCAGCACAGTGAAATGTAGCAGCCATGAGCTGCGCTTCTCCTCTAAGTCAAATCCAGAAAGATCTGGCTGGGAAGGGGTGTCTCTGTCTGCCGGCTCAGGGCAGCGGGCTCAGTTGCAGCTCAGATGAGCCAAGGAATTCTGGGGAGACTCCTGCATGTTGCACCCCCCCTCCCAGCCTTCGTCCACATCTCTGTGCCGCCAAAGCCGCCGCCATTTGAGCCGCGACAGGGACAGGGGCAGCCCAGTAAGCTGGTGCCCGAAAATGGCCCGGAGGCACCAGTGAAGGATGGGAGGGGGGGTGCAACATGCAGGATGCTCCCCGCAGTTCCTAAACTCATCTGGGCTGCAGCTGAATCTGCTGCCCTGAGCCGGCAGAGGCCCCGCAGGGCGTGGGTGGGAGCATGATAACCTTGCCCTTCCCAAGTGCCAGACACTGCCGTTGCCATCGCCACTGGCCTGCTTGGCTTGCCCCCAGCTAGCTCCATGCTTATGCGGGCTAGCTCTCCAGGAGCTCGGCAACAACAACATGAAAAAGTCGGCCAGTGAGAAGGAAGCTGCTTTGTGCTTTCCCTCCATTGTCCTTCATGGCTGAAAAGCCATGGCTGGTGGGCGCGCGGAAACAGGGTCACCCTCATGACTGGGGGCCTGGGCACATCCTTGGTGAAGGCGACCCCGAGGTCCAGAGGGAAGCCTTTCTTCTCCACGCTCATCTCGCAGATGGGACCTGGCTGGCCTGACTCAGCACGCCAGCAGGAGTGGGGTGCTCCGTCTTCAACCGTCTTCAACCCAGAGATAAGGAGAATCCAAGACCTTAGTGCCTTCCGCCGTGCCCTTAAAACCCACTTTTTCCAGCAAGCTGGGCTGGCTTAAGAAGAAACTTTAAATGTTTTAATTGGTTTGTATTTTTAATTTTGGGCCAAATTTATATATATTTTAATTGTTTTTTAATATTTGTATTTTATGTTTTTTAATTCTGGCTGTACACCGCCTTGGGTCCTCAGGGAGAAGGGCGGTATATAAATTTAAAATATAAATATAAATATATAATATAACCATGGGGAAGGCCCGTCAGAGGCGAGAAGGGGCACTTTTCAGCCAGGAAGGGCAACAGAGGGAAAGCCAAGATGACCACTGCCACCCCACTGCATCTCGACCTGAATATGGGGCTGAAATGTCAAAAAAAAAGTGTCAAAAAGTCCAAATTTTTTTTGCCACCATTTCAGTGGGCATGGCTTGGTGGGGGGGTGTCATGTGAGTGACTGCTAAGTTACATCAAGTTGGCCACACCCACTCAGTCATCTCCCCCCCACACCTAGCCACACCCACAGAACCGGTAGTGAACATTTTAGAACCCACCACTGTACACCTGTTGTTACTTAGGACAAAAAAATTCCAGGATCCATTAGTCATAATTTGAAGAGTACTTGTATTCTAATGTATTATGAACACAAAAGTGTGTGCCAGCTTTTTCAACACCTGTAAATTGATCAACTATGTTTTCAATGTTTCAGAAACATATCATCTATCAACTAATAAAATTTCCATTTTCTATCTCCCATTTACAAAAATACCTTAAATATAATGACACTCAATATTTCAAACCAGTTTTACCTGTGGAATCTTGTAGGTGCTCAAGAAGTTTGTCATGTGGAGAGAGACTTCAGAAGTAGGTCCCCCAATGACTCCCATAATCGTATTCTGAATATCACATTTGTAGTTAGGGATGAATTTGTCCTGAGTTGATAGAAATTCCATTGAGCCAAGATAGGTCCATATTGGTGAAAAATAGCTATTTAAAATATGGAAGCCTAAACTGACATTGGGTAAGAGTTGGGTATTCTCATTGAGTTCCTTCACAGCAAATACCAAGGCCAGGATGTGCTGGTAATTCTGAGTGAACATCCTAAATTATGAACAATAGGTTCCAGATTACCACATTCTTTATATCTTATTAATAATTCTATATTGATAGCATCATTATTGTAATTTCCTGCTGGAAATTAGAAACTTTATTATATGGAATAAATTTGAAACATGCTATTCTTTAATATGTATGGTATACATTAACAATATAATATTGTTAATATTATATTCTCCGTAATAACACAACAAAATGTTCCGTATATTGAAAAGACAAAATATAGGTATTGTTTTCTTGAATGAAGTATACACACACACACACACAGACACACACAAGAATTTGGGAAAAGAATATATAGCTGCAATACAGAGTAAAAATTGAAATAGTAATTTATACCAGCTCGCCTGAAAAAAATTGGATTCATTGAAAGGGAACAGGGAGGATATTAGTCTTAAAAATGTGAAAAGAAGAACAGACAAAACAGTCATTCTGGCTTCTACATATGCTTCAAATAAAAATGAAGAACAATTTTATAATATACTGAAAATTAACATTTAATTAACTTAAATTAGAAAATGGGAAGTCAGAAGTATAATATTTTTTTCTTTTTTTCTTCCTTTGCTTTCTTTTCTGATTATTATCTGTTTGTGTTTTAACGTTGTGAAACTTGTTTTGCCCAACTTTTTTTCCATTTTAATATATTGTGTCTCCATGTGTTATTATGTATATTATGTTATCAATTAACACGCAGACACACAGACACACACAGAGACACACATACACAGAGACAAACACATGCACACAAACACACAAACACACACAAACTTATGTAGATGATAGATAGATAGATAGATAGATAGATAGATAGATAGATAGATAGATAGATAGATAGACAGACAGACAGACAAAGACAAGACAGACAGACAGACAGACAGATAGATATAAATGTACATCGATAAATATTTCTTCAGAGTATCTTTTCTGCCCTCCTGAAGATGCATTTTAGTAGTTTCCTTTCTTTTTAGTTATTTTCAGTCTTTCAGATTAGAAGATAAATTTTAAAAGATTAGTGATTATGTTTCACATTCATGTCATTAGATTTATTTATGTTTTATTAAATTTCTTGGCTACTCATATTACCACAGATAATTGTAGGGAGCTTCTGAATGCTGGTTATGCTATAATATCTTTTGCAATTTGCAATTTGCAATAAAGATAAGAACATGGACATTTTTATTGTGTAAAGAGCTGTATCTTTTTCCCCCCTGTAGATGTATTTTAGTAGTTTCCTTTCCTTTTATTTATTTTCAGTCTTTCAGATTAGAAGATAAATTTTACAAGATTAGTGATTATGTTTACATTCATGTCATGAGATTTATTAATGTTTTATTTTTGTTTTATTAAATTTATTGGCTACTCATCTTACTACAGATAATTATAGGAAGCGTCTGAATGCTGGTTATGCTCTTATATCTTTTGCAATTTGCAATTTTCAACAAAGATAAGAACATGGACATTTTTATATTGTAAAAGTGTTGAATAAAAGCTTTGTTCGTGCCATCCTATACTTTTCTTCTTATCTCCAAGTTGGAGCTTTAGATGAAACCCCTACATGAAGCTAATTAGAAAATATATTTGATTTCAGCCTAAGGTACTTACAAAAGGTCATCAACAGTTTCCTCAGAAGGCGGTTTCTGAAATGTTACTGGACTTGAGAAAATGTAGATTTGAGAGGTAATGGTAGCAACGATAAAATCCCCAGGCTGGTAATACTTAAGGGGTACTGGGAGAAGTGTCTTAATAGGACATTTAGCCAGAGGAATCTTTCTCTGGCCATAAAGTTCAACTGCTAGGACTATCATCAGTGCCAAATATAACATGATGTTAACTGAGAGTCTATCTTCTTCCAGCAATAGTTTGATCCTTCATTGATTTTTTTTTAAATATTGGTGATTCATGTGGCTTCACACAGCTGATTGAAAGCCAGAATCATACAGAATCAACTACCAATAAACCTAGCAGTGTAGTTCTGTCTGTCTTCATCCTTCACAAAAATAAACAGGAGATCATTGTTCATATCAATAAAACATGAGATATTAATATACTTGACTTTTCACTTATCCTCCTCTCCTAAGGGAATGTTCATGAACCAGGAAGTTACAATACAGTATTAATCATGGTTATTTCATAATTACAATGAGACAGGGAATATTTATCAATTTTGAATTCGGTGGTCTCTCAAAAAGTTTCAGAACTCATGTTGATGACACCTCAGTTGGCATCTTCCCAATCTGTTTCTTTGAAAGAATTCTCTGTTGCATACTTGTGTATGTGTTTGTGTGAAAGTAAGAAAGAGAACATGAATGACAAGGAAAGGGGGGGGAGTTATATCCCCTGTGCATCTTTCTTGTTATAATGATTTTTTTTTCCTCCTGAAGATGGCTCTCTACAGTCCACAATTACAATTGACGAACTTAAAAGGCATCCATTTTAGTTGCAGTCTTTTTTAACAGTTTTTAGTTATTTGGCAAATCAATTTTGCCATATAAGTAAATATAATCCCCGACCTGCGTACCTTTTGCCGTGCCCTGAAGACTCTTTTATTCCAACAAGCCGGGCTGGCCTAATAGGAATTTTAAATTGGGTGTCTGTTAGCTTTTAATTTTGTGGGCCAAATTTTTATATATTTGTTTTTAAATTGTTTTTAAATTTTGTAAGTGTATATGTGTTTTAAGATGGCTGTACACCACCCTGAGTCCTTCGGGAGAAGGGCAGTATAGAAGTATAATAAAATCTAAATCTAAATCTAAAATTTGAAATTTAGTCCAGCTTTATATAGTCCAAATTCCACGTTACATTCCAATTAAGTTTCAATTTAGAGTCATTAACCAGTCCTTCTATTACAGACTTTTCTTCATTATTTTCTTTTAACTCCCTTTAAATTTTCCAAATTGAAAAAGAATCTTTTTGGGTTCTTGGTTTTTCTAATTTTTTTTCTTAAAATTCTCCAAGTATTTTAAATCCAAAACAAACAAACGGGTTCTGTTACTTTATAACTTCCGCCTTAATCTTCTTCTTCCATCCTATTAGCCGTTATTCTGACACCAGGACATTTACAGTGATTTTAAAAATCCTTTTTTTTTCTTTTTTCTTTTCTGCCTATG